AGTTTATCAATAAAATTGCGCTTAATTTTTTAACAGGTGGCAACCCTCCTTTAAAATATTTTATTTATATTAAAATTTAAAAATTGGTGGCAACCCTTCTCCAAAATATTTCTAACAGATATCTTTCTTAAACCTCTTTATTTTGATACCCATAATGTAATATTTCATTTATTTTATCGATGTACTTTAGTTAAATTTTCAAACAGGTGGCAACACTCTTCAAACATATTTTCGGCTGTACGCCTTCTTAAAACTCTTTAGTTTTACACCCACATGGCAATAATGCATTTATTTTATCAATTTGTCTGAGTTAAAATTTTCAAATAGGTGGCAACCCTCGTCAAAAATATTTCCAACAGTTATCTTTCTTAAAACTCTTTAATTTGATACCCATATTGTAATAATTTATTTATTTTATCAATATAATTGGGTTTAAAAATTTTCAAATAGGTGGCAACCCTGCAATTTTTTGCGATATCATTGGTTCTGGTATTATACCGAACAACAAAAAAAAAATTATTCAAATCGGTTCAGCCGTTCACGAGTTTTAACGACCGTGACATACGAACACAACATTTTTATTAATATAGACTATCTGTACCCTGCCACGCTTTGCTGTGGCATATTTCTGTTATATGGACGATAAATTATTAACGAAACAAAGCACACGTTTCATATGTGTTTGGTTATGTAATAAGTACTCGTGTACACACAATATTTGTTATTTTTCCATTCTCTGCATAGATATCAAGGATATCTGGTTTGCCGACACAGGAACACGCAACATCTGAGAAGCAATCCGCATCTAAATCTAATCCATACTTTTCCAAAGTTCGACCTGGAGTATTATTGATTGTGATTCCGAATGTCAATCGAATTGGGAATTCAAATCTTTTAAATTGAATCATCATCATTAAATGGAATCATGGGAATTCTTCGCCTTTGAAAGGCCACGTTAAATTCTTTCCTTACATTACGTTCTTCATCAATTTCTTAACTGCGAGTCGCATTCCGTTGCAGAGTTTTCGCTGATTAATATTCCGCAACATGATAACTGTCAAACCTATTTTTAATTTCAGTATGTGAGGTCTCCCTGGAAGATTAATCGAGTTCAAAAATTTTGTTGGATGGTCTTTTTCCACAACGGTGTTTATCGACGTACATATATGCTATTTCCTCACGTTAAATGCTGGATTGAATAACATTAGGGGTATTCACCACAGTGAGCAAGTGGTCTGGCAGTCTAGTAAAAGAGCTGATCAGCTCAAGCAACGACTGTTGTCAATACCACTATTATTTAGTTGATAGACCTCCTTATTCTTCGCAGCAAGAATAGCCCGTTCACTGAGCCAATCGTGATTCCTAAAATTAATTTTCTTAATAAAGAAACATTCTTTCGATCAGTTCTCCGTTCGACGTTTCTAATTTACAAAATTATCAGGCCATAAAATTCGTCTTAATCTCTCATTGACTGGCGTTCCCAATTTCCAGTTATTGTCGCGCGAATACTTCAGCTGCAGTGTATGTATGTTCGTCTTGTCGCAATGTTGTTGTTTCAGGCAAGCATTTATCTCTCGTGTTAATCGAGAAACTACAGACAATGTTTTCGTAAAATCTCCTGCGAGCAATATCCCGAATGGTTGAACCTTTCCACGCAAACCCCGCAACAATAGATCAAAAGCCTCAAACAATTTTTTATGTGCCATGGTGCACTCATCCCAAATAATGAATTTAATTTTTTGCTAAACTTTTTTCATACCGGATGCTCTGG